ATAAAGAAAAACACTACATTTTTCAAAATATTTGTGGATGTTTAAGTGGCCATCCAATGAGATGGCAGCGCCAGCTGGGTTAGCCTCATCTTAGATAACATCAATCAGATCATTAAAATAAACTAAGTTTTAAAAATAACATCTGAATATTATTGATCGCTTAAAAACCCACCTGAATAGTTTTTTTATTGATCTGGCCTCTGTAGTTTGATGTTTTTTCATATTTTCTGGTTCTTTACTCTTTCACATTCACACATCTATTTTTTTTTTCTTTAACTGAAAACTTTGTTTCTTAAGTATTTATTGTCTCTGAGCTGTTTTTCAGTTTTCCATCATTCTATCAGCTGATTCATAAGAGGATTAGTTGGCAGAATTGATTGACTAATCAGTTGACTGATCATGAAGTAACTCCAAATGTTGCCATGTTCAGATTGTTTTATTAGATTGTTTAAAAAGGAAACAATACTGAGAAACAAAGAGGTTGTTCGACATGTTAGACAGATTTTATAGAAAAGTTAAAACGGGAAACACACAACAGGTTCCATTTAATCAGGGATGAAAGATCAGCAGATGGAGGTGAGGTCAGAGGGGATCAGGTGCAGTAGAACTCTCCGGCATCAACTCTGCGTCTTTTACGACTCTGCTGCTCGAAGAACTGACGAATGTCATCAGATGTCACAACCTATCAGAGAATAGTTAAATTATATCAGTTAACCTATCAGAACAGTCACAAGACACTTGACCTATCAGGTGAAAGACTCACTTTTCCTTCAGCTGCAAATCTCTGCAGGAAGTCCTTCAGCTCAGTTTTCATGTCATTGTATCCTGCAAGAAAAATAATCAGGACTATTTAATCTGTTCATAGACTTTCTGCAGGTTTATACGTTCTTCTTACAGAGTCCACTTACAGAATTGTTAAGTTATAGTGTGAGCACCTGCATAAAAGCAAAGATTTCACGTGTGCGTTAAAAGAGTACTGAAGGGGGAAAAAACTAGTGATGCACGATACCACCACTACTGAACA